TTCATTTGGGTTGGGTTTAAGACCCCTTGGCTTCCCATAATTTTGAATATGTCTTGATGTCTTTACTCTTGCTGTGAGTTGCACTGGAAATGATATATTGGAATTAACTTGCTGGGATTCCAATAATGTTTCAATGGGATTACAAACATAACTTTCCAAATTGTGAGGACAATTAGAAAAAGGATTACAATACTTGGATTAAACTACTAAACATTTGGATTACAATGGCTACACTACATTATTTAAGGAATAATGACAAAGAAAAAGTTTGCATGATTGCAGTATAAAAAAATAGTTTCTAATAGTTTGGGTCCATGGATCTGGAGGCCTTCCCTGCAGAAGGCAACTGTATTCTGTCAGATTACTTGCCCTTTGCACAAGGCTGGTTCATCAAATGTATTGCCTGGTCCATAAAAAGATGGAAAGAAATAAGATAAACAAATGATATTCAAAGGGTATTTTGACTCTAATATTTTCTAAAGATACTTTAAAAATGAGAGGGAGCTATAAGAGCCAAATATACCCATAGCCACCTAAATTCTTTACCTTTCCAACAAGCAGATCAAAAGCTGTGCCACTAAACTGTTTCTTTCCATTTACTTCCCTTTGCAAACAGGAAGTATGTATTTTATAGGTCCCACCATGAGTTCCCTATGGGAAACTCATGGGACAGTTTACATCAGAGAAGAAATTCCGAAAGATACAAAGTAAGGAAAATGAGGACTGAGTGTGATCCACGGCTGTTTGCAAGGTTCAGAATTGGCTGGGAACCTCTGCTCCGTGTTTTCAACTGCCCACCTGAAAATTATTTTCTGCAGTGACAAACGTAGTGCACATCAGCTAAGCTCCCAGGGCGGCAGAGACAGGCAACATAGAAAGGTAGAAGGCAGCTGGGCCCAGACCTGCCTTCACCTCACTCTCTTCTCGGCACACTGCAGGGCTGCGGTTCAGTGGAGGTGCAGACTCATTTGTAGAGCAGATGTATTCAGCTCCACCACATGTGTTTTTGTAGAGAGATGCCCTTTACGTACAGGGGCTGGACCCATGTTAAGAACATAGGAGAGGGAACAGTGTGGCATTAGCAGTCTACCTAGGGTAAGATGAGGCCTGCTGCTTGGTGGCAGGCTCAGAGGACTGCTGTTATCAGGAAGATATTACCACCACTTCTCTGAGATTTTCAGATTAGCAGAGTGGATACTAAAGTGAGCAGTAATCATCGTTCACTGGTGAGGTCTTCATTTTGTGGGCCTTCATTGTTAATTCAAAATAGACTTGCCTGCTCAGGGTGGGCATCCAATGAGTCTCTGTGAATGGGTGAATGGACATTTGAAAGCCTCTGCTTATCTGCAGCTGGTAATATTCTGCAACTGACTGAGACATGCTTAGCATTTGCTTTCCCTTTAGCCACTGAAGCGTCATTGGTGCAGTGTAGTTTTGTGACTAAGGCATGGTGTTTGGAGCAGGGTATCCTGCTACCATGCATGGCTGAGGGTGGGTCATTTAAGCTCTCCATGTCCTGGTTTCACCAAGGATCGTGGTGAGAAGTGCCTGAGTCATTTTCTACAAAACACTGTTGCTGACATTTGGATGTTTTCCCCACCTCTACTTATGGAATATAGTAATTCCTACTGTCATTTGCATTTTTTTTTAGATCATCTTGCTTCTTCAATTAATATCTTTCCCAGTGCTACACAGGGTCAAGGATTTCTGTTTGTTTTGAAAACATTTGAACCACTAGTGCCTAAAAGTAAGTCTCTTGTAGCCTGGGCTCAGTAATTATCTAGTGGTTTGTAATAATTGGCCACAGCCATCTATCCTATGAGGTTGATTAGTTGGGAATCAGCTGAGCATCCTGTATTTCTTGACTGTAAGGCTTTTTGGAGGTAATTCCACCCATCATTAGAAAGGCAAATTTGGCCTTCCACCAAGAACCTCTGCCAAAGCCATTTTTCCATCAGGATGCTGTGTTGTGGTCTCCTGGGAAGACAGCAAGAAATCCCTTGTGGGTTTCAGTTTGGCATAACGATATGTGTGTGTGTGTGTGTGTGTGTGTGTGTGTGTGTGTGTGTGTGTGTGAGAGAGAGAGAGAGAGAGAGAGGGAGAGAGAGACAGAGAGAGAGAGAGAGAGAGAAACAGAGAGACAGAGAGAGAGAGAGAGAGACAGAGACTTAGACTGCGACAGAGACAGAGATTGCTGATCTTTGTGTTTCCATAAGAATCAGGACAAGAAAGCAGTTTGGGTCTTTATGATTGGAAGCACATTTCTGCTGTATTCTGGGTGCTCTTCATTGTGGCCTTCTAAGACTGCTCTTGGAGAAGAAGGCATCCTCAGGACTCATCTTGGGGAATGTGCTCTCTCCAATAAACCAGGGTTCTCACTGTCACACACAGCATACTTTTCTCCTGATGACTGGGTCTGTGTCTTTAAGACAATAATTGCTGAATTGAAATTTGAGACTGTTATCTTAATAACCAATTACTCAAATAACTTTGAAATTGGCTTAAATTGGCTCGTCATGCTACATTTACCTGAATCTTTTTATGGGAAAGTTAGGAACAAGAAAAAAAAAATTCTTGGCAGCCCAATTTGTTTGGTTTTGCTGAAAGACCTTGTTTGCAGTAAGTAAGCGGTGCTGCATGCCCTTGGCTCAGACCCTTGCCTTCAGTGTTGGAGGCTTTGCCCAGGTCAGTTCTTCTGTGAGCTCAGCCTGCCCTGTCCTCCAGCCCTGGTGCTCTTGGGAGCCCTTACCAAAATAAAGCACTGTGTTAACTGCATTAGAGAACAAGTATTTATGTGTGTCATACTCATCAAATAAAATTTCTTCTTCTTTGCAAAAGATTCAAATCTCACTGGTACGTTTTTCTTTCGGAAAATTGTGGATGGAGTTATGTAGTTTTAATTTTCCTCTGTTCCGACACTTACGGAAGCTTAAAGGTGAGTCAAAATCTTTAAACTAAAGGAATTCACCATTTATTAGAGGCTTGAACAGGAGAGGGTGAGAAGCTGGGAGCAGTGTACTTGGATTTTATATATAGCTATAAACCTAGTAATAGAATATTATATCTTTTTCTCTAATATAGTCTTATATCTCCTCATTTTTCTCATCATCTAAACTAAAGTAATGGGAGTTCTATGTGCCTTCAGGATCATGCTTGCTCTTTTATTTTTTGCACCATTAAAAATCTTGTTATTGCAAACATTTTACTGATCTTCGCAAAAATCTAATTCACATTATTTGAGAGACAAGAGTAAGCTGTTGAGGTGCTCATTGATTGTACGTGATTATGGGATGAGAAAAGGCAGGTAAGGAAATGAGGAGAGAGGAACAGTCCCTGTTCCCAAACTCCATCCACCCACCAGTCTGCTGCTGGTGATCTCCTGCTCCTCTCTTTGTCCCTGGGAGCTCCCATCCCAGATGAGCATATCCTAATCTCGCTGCAAGATAGTCACCTTGTTTACACCTTGCCATTCTATTCTGAAAGATTTTCTACTCAGCATCTTCTCCTGCCCACTGAAGAGAGGCGGTTGTAACACAGATGTGCTTCTATTTTAAGGCATTAGGGGAAACATGGGAAAAGAACAAAGATGATGTCCAGGCTCAGTATTGATCCTCAACCATAATAAAACACATGGCTCATCCTAGCAATACCCTGGTCTCAGGGGGGAGGGACCATCAGTCCAAGGAGAGCTGAAGACAGAGAAAGCATCATGGCCTGAGAGCTGGGAGAATTGCTCTTTGACCCTGAGAGCCACAGGGAGGCTGCTGGCCAGGGTGAGGGGCTTGGTTGTGAATTTTTACATTTGTTTCTCCACTAGAAATTGAGAGACTTATGCTGTGAGATGAGGGGGCACTAGTGGGAAAACAGTCACCCCAGAATCAGAAATCCTTCACCTGTGGGGTCCTAATAAGGCACGTGACTTCCTTGTGTCATGATTCTTATCGATGGAACAAAGAAAGATCGTGTTTCCTGCCTCCTTGTCTGTGTTTGGGAGGATGAACTGAGGAAAATGTATAACATGGACTTGGAAAATTGTGAAGTACTCTATATGCATATGAAATATTAGAGTCTTCAGGATGCACCAAGATTTCCAACCTCATAATTTACCCCCAAACTCCAGGAGGAAATCACCTTGTCATAAAAACATCTTGGATTGGCCATCCATTATGCTCCTATACTGGGAGAAAATGCGGAGAGGTTTCCAAAAGAACAGGATTATAAAACCGTAAAAGAATCTAAGTTCAAAAGCCCTTGAAAACTGCTGGACTGAGCCTTAATAATTCAAAAAATTCAGCCAAAGTTTTTCTTTCTCATGTAATAAAACATGTGTTTTGGACAAACCAGATAATGTGTCATAAAAGTTCGGGCAGGATCCAGAAAACATGAATCCTGAGTCTTCTCCCACTCAGGACACCCCATTGTTTCCAGGGTGCGGGTGCCAGGGGCACTGGCAAGTTCAGTAAATTTCCTTAGCATTCACGGCCCTCCCAGGCTTTCCCTGTGTCTGTGCTCTCCTTTTCAGTTTATTTTTGTTTCCCGTTCTCCTTTTCTTCAATCAGTGATGTCACTGCTGTTCCCCGACTTCAGTCAGGGTTGTTTTCCTTGCTGTCTCTGCAGCCCTGCTTCTTCCTGCTTGGAGCCTGGTTTTCCAGTGACACACGGAGACCCAGGCACCTCTGGCTGACGGCTGCAGAAGTCAAACGCCGAGAGGAACAGAGCTCAGAGCTGTGGAAATCAGTACAGAGAAAGAAAGCAGCGTTGAAAAAATATCTCTGTCACTCTCTAGTTTATTGTAATGATTTTGGCAATGATACATTGGCTTGAGATTTTCAAAAGATTCACTTTTTTCCCTGGAAACTTTTTAATAGAAGAAACAGGTTCGCACTTTTATCTGTAATCCAGATGGGCAAACTGAAAACTGCCATGAAGGACGCCTACAAAGGGTTTAGGCAAATTTAGTTTTTATTTTGCTGTAGTTCTTTGCTTTTCTTTTCTTTTTTCAGGAGAGAGCACAAAAACAGTCCCCCACTAACACAAATTATGCAGTTGAGTTTCCCACATTTGGGGAAATTGCAGGGGTCAGCACATCCGGAATGTAATGGATGAGCCTCATCCTGGGAAAACCACCTACGTGATCATGGTATCTCTCCTGCAAGATAAGTATTTTAATTATGTTCAGGCCACAGGACAATGATATTGAAATACACACTAATATTAATTAAAGTATCAAAACTTTTATAGGCTTTGCTTTGACTTCAACTGGGGATAGCTGAGTTTGTAGAGGAAGAATTCAGTATAAGAGACAAAACCCTGAAATGAACAAGGGGCGATACTGGTAGGATAAGTGACCTTCTTTGGCTTCAGAGGTAAATCTAATTATGCTGGTTCTGGAGCTGCAGAATGGGTCTCTAAACTCCAGGACCAGCTGTGGCTCCCTGGACTCCAGGGTCCAGGAGGGTGTCCATTAGCAGATCTAATGATGGGCCCCACCAGAGGCAAGATGGGAAGGCTGGCCATCCCGATGGACCACTGTGGGCAACACAACATACCTCACAGCCCAGGGATGCACAGGTAGTTCCTGACAGTTACAAAATTGTGGTTTCAGAATAAATAATACCATTTGTTATTTTATTTGGGTCTATTTCACAAGTGTGAACTGTGAAAAGATAATAAAGATCTTAAGGTGATCTCTTTGCACCCTTAAAGTTTTTTGTACTGCTGTAAAGACAGGATCCATTTTGGTAATATAATCGGTTCTTATAGTTAGTTTTCTCCCACAAAGTTTCATGTTACCAGTAGGCATCAGTGTTGGCCACTTACACTTGTGTTACACCACTGTGCTATAGTCATATCGTTTTTAAAAGGTGAGTTGATGGTTCAAATATTCCATTGAGGTCCAAAACCGGTGATGCAACATCATTATAAAAACTTGGGGAAGCAGTGTACAAAACAGTGAAGAGTGGAGACATAGAGTAGATCCAAGAGAAACTCTTGGGAATGACGATAGTAAAAGAATAAAGTCAGCAGCAGCGGGTATGCTGTAAATGTCTTCAACCTGGACATACTGGGTTGGAAGAATTTTATTTTACCTTCTTTCTCTTTTATGGCCAGGAATGAAACTTTGAAAAATAAGAGCATGATAGACGTCATTCTGAACTATGCACGGGGACTCGCTGATAAATAGCTCATGTTTTTCCAGATCACATTCAGTTTAAATAGAACATGAAAATAATGAGTACAGATGCGATTGTTTTATTTCTAAAGAAAGAGAAGTAAGCAAAACCACACTTTCATTCATGTGTCTTAGTCACTTTCTCAGTGCTGCGACACAATACCCAACACCTACCATTTAAAGGGAGAGAAGTTTATTTTGGTTCACAGTTTTTAGAGAATTCAGTCCATGGTTAGCTGGGTCCAAGACAAGAAGGCATAGGAGGAGGGTCTGGTGGGGGAAAGCTGCTCAAGTCATGGTGGCTGAGAAGCAGGAGAGAAGGAAGGAGATGGGGAGAGAGATGCTTCCTGGTAACATCATCAGACCCTGCCTTCTCGCAGCACATACAGCTCTCAACTAGTCAGTTTATTACCCACCAATGACTATAATACTCCTATGACCCAATCACCTTCTACACACATAAAAATTACAGAGGGGAGAACATTTTAGAAGTAAACTGTGATATCTTTAAGTTGGAAAAAAAGGAAAGGATCTGAATCACAGTTGGCAGAGCAATTACATAACCACTTACAAAGTTCACAGCAAAAGATGCACAATATGCTATTGGCACCATTTGTCACCGTGCAGCATTGTTGTGCATTGCATGCTACTAAAGACAGCAGGAATCAGAGAAGATAGTGGAATAAGAGCACTTGAACTGCTTCAGAGGTACATAGAAACACAGACGGCAGAGATGCAGGTGCACCGTCCAATTTGCAGGACAAGTGCTCAAGACCTTCATCTAATTCAAACTCTTCACCATGCCAACCTTTCGCTAAGGAAGTGAAGGCTTTAAATTCCATAAGCTTTACAGATGTGAAAAAATGTATTTTATTATAAGCTTCTTGATGACGTTGTACCAAAGGTCAGGCAGCTGTACCAGATGCCATTTCAGACCCCACCTCACTCCCAGAGACTGTCATAAGCGGGGGCCATCTGACTCCCTGAGGTCATGACTGTGGTCAGTGTGGGGGTACATAAGGCAAAGCTTTACCAAGCAGAAGTTGTCTCTAAAGGACAAGTTTGGAGATGTGAGATGAGATTAAAATACATTTGTCTGGCCTTGATAAGACACAAGGAGACAGATATTCAGAGTGACTTGATCCAGAGGTATGCCTCAGCAAAATGTCTCTTTTCTTGAGTTGCACAAATTTGACATTTTAGGGTTGCTGCATTAGCTTTCTGTCACTGGGATAAAATACCTGACACCAGCGACTTAAAGGAGGAGAGATTTATTTTGGTTCATGGTTTCAGAAGTTTCAGTCCATAGTCAGTTCTGAGGCAGAAACATGACAAAGGGAATGTCAGAGAAAAGCTGCCCAACTCATTTACCAAGAAACAATGGGTTTGGAAGAGTCCGGGAGAAAAGACCAAGGGAGTGTATGCAGCCCCCAAAGTCACATATTTTGTGACTCACTTCCTCCAACTAGGTCCCACCTCCTTATAGCCAATTTAGCTAATAACTAACTCATCAGTCATTAACTCTTCAGAGGAGTCAGTACCCTTATGATCCAATCACCTCTCTAACAGAGTCTTACTCCTGTCAAATTGATAATCAAGATTAACAGGCATAGTCACAATGTAAGTTTTACTGCCAAGTGGCAGAAGTTTTTGAGCTCAAACTGTGGCCCAAATATGTGAATAACACTACAGTTTACTCTTTCTAATATTGGTAATTTTAGAACACAATGACAAAATTAATTACAGTTTTGCAAATCCTCAAAGCCCACATCCAAATGCTAAAAACAAAACCCCAAAGTGTAATTTCAAAGCCAAGTGCAACCAAATGATGGACTAATAATCCATTTACAATTTTTTCCCAAGTTGAAAGGTAATTCTTCCTTCGTGTTGTTGAATTAAATACACACATCACAACTATGAGCAACTATGATCCTCATTGAGCAATCTCTCGGTCCACATTATTTCTGGATTCACATCCACCCAAAATGTCAAAAACCAATAAAATACAATAATCCCAGGAATATGTGGTACAGAATTTGAATGGTCTACCTTGGTAAGTAAAATAACAAAGGTAAGAAATAGACTGATGTAAGGCTTAAGCTTGCCACACTGAGCCTCCTCAAAATATCTTTGTAAGAGATGATGAACAATAGCATTTCTTTCACTGATCCAAAACAATAATTTTAATTGCTAATTTGGAAAGTGTAATCTTCAAACGAACATGCCAGCATAGGAATCTCCGGATAGAGAAAGATGGAGAAGAGGGGCCTCTCTGCTGCCTCTTGCAGTATGTAGTTAAATCTAAATGAGTAATGGCAGGTTGTCTGGAGACGCATGAGCTTTTTGAAGCAGAAGAGACACAGTGCAAAGGAAATTCTAATAATAATCTTGAAATAAAGTAATAAATTACCCCAGAAAAGCCAGGAGTGAGTGGGGGGCTGTGAAGGGGGAAATAAGTCATTCCCAGGGCCTCATCTGAGGATGCGAGGGCAGGGAAAGTAGCAGAGGGGTCACAGGCAGACACCGAGTGAAAGGATATCTTTGGGGAGAAGGACTTAGACTCTGTTTTCACATCATCTTAAAGAAATATTTGTCTGATAATGGTTTCCAAAGAAGGGAAGCTTTTTCAGCACGTCTCAGCAGGAAACAGAGGGCAGGCCCACTGGGGACCAACAGGGCCCTCGCAATGTCCCAGGCGTTAGCAGCTCCCAGCTCAGGAGAAGAGGGTACAGGGGAACAAGCCAAATCCAGAGCCCAAAGTCAGGCAAACAGAACGTAAATGTGGCAGGATGTATCCAGGTAGAAGCTGAGGTCTCCCCCAAGGACTCAAGTCCCTCAGAAGCATAGGTAGGAGGGGAGGTCTCCTTGAGTGCATGTACTTCCTTCTAATTTCTAGATAAAATGTTTCCCATAACCCCAAGATGATCAGTATTAAAGAGAAAACTATTTAATGAACAGTGAAAGGGTAGTAAAGAAGACTTTCTTCAACCATCACGAGAAATACAGGGACCAAGGTAATGGGATCTCACAACGTGGAAGAAAGATAGGGCTCAACTCTGAGTAAGACAGGAGCAGTGGGAATAGATAGTCCTGGAATGGGGTAGGGGTCAGTGGATGGACAATTACTGAGACAGAATATTAGGGATGAGGGGCAGTTTTCCTAATGTGACCTGACAGGATTCTTGCTGAAGCCAGGTCAAATATCTCCAAGATGGATGGAGGAGAAGGAGGAACCCAATTCCATCCCCAGTGTGGTCAGATACTAAGAGTGAGTAATTCTTGCCAAACTGACTTCGACTTCTTGCTAAAAGGATGTACACAGATGATGGGCTAAAGAAAAGCTTTGGAAAACAGTGATTATGGCCAAGTAGAGATTCTCTGCTACCAAGGCTTGGAATGAAGAAGCCTGATGATGTGATCCATCTACTGCAATTCTCAGCACCTGACACCGTGATGGGGCTTGGGTTGGGTTCTGGAGGCCAGAGGAAGATGCTCAACCCAGAAGATGACCAAGCGTGGAGTCAAAAGGCAGAGTATTAACTGAGTGGCCAGTAATTAAATCATTAAAGGAAAACAAAAGAAACAGAACAATGTAGGAAAAAATACATGAAGTGTAATGTACCCAGTAAAGCTAATTCTCCCATTAAATATGAGAAACATCTCTATTTTTCAAAACCAGCCAGATCAACTCTTATTTCTGGGCTTTCTCTTTTAGGTATGGTCTCCTTTTGCCATGGTGCCTTTGATCTTTGGTGCTGAGCACAGTGTCTAGCCACAGAAGTCTCAGTACACATGTAAACTGTGGACCCTGCTCCCCCTGGCTTTGGTCATGCAGCAGAACCCTTGCCTTTCATGTGTGTACCTGTGAGTTCCAGCATCTCTACTGTATCCTAAGTGAACATCCTTCCATCTTCTTGGTGCTTCTACTTGATTTGTGCAGAAATAGGCTGCACAAATCCAGTTTTCTGGCCTGTGAAGCTTTCTGAGAATTT